GCGTGACATCAGCTTCTCTGTCAAGGGTCGAGTTTACAATGCTGCGGTGCGCTCCATATTACTATATGGATCAGAAACCTGGCCGCTGCGAGCTGAGGACGTCAAAAGACTTTGTGTTTGACCATCGATGTCTTCGGAGCATTGCCTGAATCTGGTGGGAACACCGGATCAGCAATTCGGAAGTACGCCGAATGGTATTCGGGAGAAATAACTCACCCTCGATAGATGAACTGACCACACTGCATAGGTTCCGCTGGCTTGGCCACGTGTTGCGTATGCCAGTCGACCGACTTCCTCGAAGGGCTCTTTTCGCACAACCACGCGAAGGGTGGAAGAGAGCCAGAGGCGATCAAACAATGACTTGGCAGCGAAGTATGAAAGCAATTACCAGCAAACTCAGCTGCGCTGGTCACTGATGTCTTCCTGGATGGGGACCCCGAGATGGGCCACATCAATGGCTAGAGACATTGTCAGACATGGCCCAGTCGCGCCCTCAATGGCGCTCATGCATCAAAGCTATTGCCTTCAATGCATAGCTCCTTTTCCAAGCCCAACCCCCCACTTGACAGCCCACTGTACCTATCCCTCCCAAAAAACATCGGTGAACGAAACTGCGGCAGCTACAATGTACGTACGACGAGTACGCGGTTATTACAGCTGACAATGATGATGATGATGATGATGATGATGATGATGATGATGACCTCAACCCTCCTTCCTCATGATGATGATGATGATGATGATGACCTCAACCACGCCTCCTTCCTCCGCCTGGACAACCGGGAAGTATTAGTATCCCGCACAGTTCTGTGTCTACCGATGTGTCCCTCCTCAACCAATTCCCGCCACACAAGCAAACGTTTCTGGGTATTCGACTGACAGTTATCTGACCGGTGGGCCTTATGCACCCCACTGCCTATCGACAATAAACAAAATAACGCCTTTCCAAATTCACGATATCCTTTCTAATATGGGAGTTTTAACGTCCATAATCTATGTCAAATTGGCAAACAGGCAATGCTCGCTGATACCTTATACTCCCTTGAAATTGATATCTCCCGTCTCCGAAACATGCATACAAGGCCCAAGCGTGGTAATGAATCTCAAAACGCCAAAGACGAACTCAGCTCTTTCAGATTTCTCCCCCCATGTGTCCGGTGTTCCAGACCCAAGGTAGAAAGCGCTTTGTTGGATTGGATCCCAGTTAATGGTCGTCTTTGCGCTGTCCGGTTATCCAGCTCAATCAGGCTCACTGCTTCTCGACATAAAAAGCGGTGCCTGTTTGTAGTGTCGGCTTACGCCCCAATGGACTTCAGTTCTGATGATGAGAGGGGTACTCCCTATCGAGTTATCCAGGTTAATTCGTCAAACAAGAAACACTGACAATGTGATACTTGAGGGTGATATGAATGCATAAGTCAGTCGTCTGACCTCCCCAGTAAACACAGTGCCGCCGGTGGCTAGCTTTGCCACTGACTCCGTTGGTGAATATAAGCCAAACATAACATTTGCTGCAAAAAAGCCTTCTGAAAACAAAGGTACCAGGATACTCTGGATACTGGAGCTCTATTTACGAAGTAATTTTCGAAACCGATTTGTTTGAATGCACCACCGATTAAATATATCATGAAATTTTTGGGTTGCCACCTTTGGCCGCTTTTAGCCATCGGTGGCAAGTGTAACATGCCACCCCTATTTGCCACCTCTTGCCACCGGTGGTGCCGCGGTGACGTGTTTACTGGGTCCCTGGAATCACATTTGGACGACCTATTCGGAGTACACGCTTGTCGCGCAGACAACGGAGAGCGACTCCTTCAATTGTGTGCTGATCCTCAGCTGTTTCTTGCCAGTATGAACTTTCGCATTGCGTAATCTGGCGGCAACCAAACGCAAGTGGAACCATTTGGGTCACGTGGCCATCAGCCGCCGGTGAACAGTCACTGTTCAAGATTGCCATTCCTCTTAAGGCACACAACTTGATTCTAATCACGCCATTTTGCGTGCACGCCTGTCAATTCGTTTCACCTCAGGCCTTCGCAAGTCAGCAAGAAACATGCAACTCCACCATCTTCGAAGAACTACCATAGATCAAGAGTATCAGTCTGAGCTAGCCCAACTCTCTACAGTAAACCGATACTGTAGTGGTAGTGAGCACGTGGATGAAGCATCCCGAAACTTGCTAGCGGCGTTCAGCGTTGTCGGTCCGACTTTTTCGATTCGACCAGAAGACCACTGGATGTCGTCGAGATCGCTATTTATGATTGGTGCCAGGAAAATCATACCAGCAGGCTAGGAGCACGACGGTGCATGCAAATCTCTCAAACGATGAACAGGGAAGAGTCCAAATAAAGACCGGGAGTTCTGGTCGATAACGGAAGCTCAAGAGATGGAGAAGGCTTTTGTAACCGGGACCAGCCGTGCCCTACATCAACTGGTACTATCAACTGGCCCTAGGAAAGCAACGATCAGCGAAGCGATAAGTTTGAAAGGTAGGTCAATAACTCACTTGCAAAAACTTCGGTTGGCAAGACGGGTTTGAAAACTTCGAGGAACAGTGTAACTGGCCTCCTGCAAAACAGCCTGTGGAGATGGTGCATACAAACGAATGGAATGTTAACCTTATTCGCCCGTCGGAAGATGACATAAAGTGCTAAATACCCGTAATGAAACGTGATTAGGCACCAGGACTGGACGGTTTGTACCCAGCCCTTTTTAAAGAAGGCCGAGAATCTCTGGTGACCCATCTGACAAAGCATATTGTTGCGATATGGAACGAACAGAAAGTGCCTGCAGAAAGAGGTATGCTGACAGTTATTCTTATTTCCAAAAAGGGTACGCGGACGTTATGTGAAAGCCACCGATCAGCCTGGGTGCCCTACATCAACTGGTACTATCAACTGGCCCTAGGAAAGCAACGATCAGCGAAGCGATAAGTTTGAAAGGTAGGTCAATAACTCACTTGCAAAAACTTCGGTTGGCAAGACGGGTTTGAAAACTTCGAGGAACAGTGTAACTGGCCTCCTGCAAAACAGCCTGTGGAGATGGTGCATACAAACGAATGGAATGTTAACCTTATTCGCCCGTCGGAAGATGACATAAAGTGCTAAATACCCGTAATGAAACGTGATTAGGCACCAGGACTGGACGGTTTGTACCCAGCCCTTTTTAAAGAAGGCCGAGAATCTCTGGTGACCCATCTGACAAAGCATATTGTTGCGATATGGAACGAACAGAAAGTGCCTGCAGAAAGAGGTATGCTGACAGTTATTCTTATTTCCAAAAAGGGTACGCGGACGTTATGTGAAAGCCACCGCGGCATCAGCCTGGTAGCTGTAACATCAGAGCTCATCTCTGGTTTTATACTTCGACGGTTGACTGAACACAAGGAGACAGATCCGTGAAAATCAAGCTCGGTTTCGTCGTTCAAGAGGACGCATCGAACCAATCTTCACGCTCCAACACTGCTCTCAGCAACCAAAAAATGGTTGTTTCTTGAACTGAAAGCTGCTTTGACTCTGTGAACCGCCAGGCGCTATGGAAGTGTCTGTGGAGCAAAGCCCCCCCCCCCAAATAAATTATTGACCCTCTTTAAGGCACTGTACGCAAACTCCCGTGATCGTGTGAAGGTATACGGGAAGCGCTCTTCTGAGGTCACCACATCAAGTGCTGTCAGACACGGCTGTCCTCTCTCGCGTTTACTCTTCAACTTCGTCATTGATACAATTATGGAGACTGGACCTTACCGTGGTGTGACGGTTTGCGCACCTCAGCGATCCATTGAGCTATACTGGAGAGTGTCCCGCGACACTCACAAAGTCTCTCATACCAGGTTGGTCAATGGTTAGAGGTCTGACGA